GCTATGATGCTGAAACTAGGATTACCAGATTACCAGATTCCGTCCTCATCTTCAGCAGACAGAACAGAGTTCCAATAGTGATGGTTCTGGTCACAATCTGGTTGTATGTCCGTCTTGTCTTTTCTCTGAGTGAAGTCATCAGGCCAAACCCTCTGGTTACACCCAGGTGTGCCTCATTCTCTCCAGGCCATAATAATCCTCTTTCTCTACTGATTCCGTTGCTTGTTCCCAAATGGTCCTGACCACATCTGCCATGTAATGTATCAATTCACCACCCAGTGCTGCAGATCCAGCCAATCTGTCTGCATGTTCGTTACCCACCACGCCGGCATTGCCTGGAGGAAAGATCCAAAGTATGCTCACTACCAGTAACGTTTCCACTACTAGTAACATACATTCCCATAAACATACTTACATACACATACATGTCTGGTTTCTGAATCAAATGTGGGATATTTGTTCTTCAATGTTTGTCTGTGTTGTGTTATTAGAAAGTAAATTATTTTTCAACGCCTGTCTCTCTCTCTCTCTCTCTCTCTCTCTCTCTCTCTCTCTCTCTCTCTCTCTCTCTCTCTCTCTCTTTCTCTCTCCCTCTATGTATATATATATATATATATATATATATATATATATATATATATATATATAGAGAGAGAGAGAGAGAGAGAGAGATAGACAGACAGACAGACAGGGAGACGACTGAGGCAAAGACAGACAGTTGGGGAGGGAGGGGAGAAATGAGACAGACAGACAGACAGACAGACAGACAGACAGACAGACAGACAGACAGACAGACAGACAGACAGACAGACAGACAGACAGACAGACAGACAGACAGACAGACAGACAGACAGACAGACAGACAGACAGACTTAAAACCTTCAGCTATCTAGGTCAGTGAAAATAAAAGTGCCTGGTTGTGTTCAAAACCCAGACGACCCAATTGCCGCAGCTACAGACTAATTAAGTTTAAAACCCCACTCCTCTCTAATGAATGGAACCCAAACATTCAGCAACAATAGACCATACAGATCTTTGTGTTCATTTGTTTTAATATGGGCTGGTTGAGTTTGAGGTGTGATAATAAAATATAAACTATTCAAAGTCCAGACTGGTACAATATGGAGTGGTTAAATGATGGTGGTTAAATAAGGGTGGTTAAAAAAGGGTGGTTGCAAATGTGAGACTAGGTGATTGCAATAGAGAATGGTTAAAATAAATTCATTCATTCACACAACTCCCTGTGGTACCATTATATGTCACATAGGGCTCACAGTCTTTTTCTTCATTAGGTTCTACATTGTGCAATCACTTCAATATCTAGGATCAAGTCCAGTCCAGCATCTTTGGCTTCTCTCATCAACGTCCCTTTTAGGGTTTCTTATGAACGTCTTAGCTTCCATAATTCCTTGATTATCATTTGTAGTGCCGGTTTGATAATTCCCTGCTCGTTTCCTCCCAGGGTGTGTCCAGTATAGCGCTATCTACTTTGTCAAATGAATGTTGTACATTCGTATACATTTGGTACTATTAGACCCTTGTCGAGCAAAACTACTGTTTGTACGACGCCCGATGTTTTAGTACGTTTTAGAAATACTGCATCAATATTTTAACTGTTGGCATTGTACACTGTATCCATAAAGTTGCGTATTTTTTACAGGACGTTGCAAAACCAACCCCAGCATTTGTTGGCTGTTGTGTTTTTTTCTAGGCAAATTGTACGTTTAGTAGTTTACAACTGCCCTCTAGACGGTCGGCTCTCCATACCACTGTCGAACCCAACGCAAGGCCCGCAGCTGGGATCCAACCTGGCATCCCGGCATTACGAAGCGCGTTCGCAACGCCTAAGCCACAGACGACGACACACTGTATCCGATAAGCGTAACTGAAAAAAATAAAATCGACGTCAGTCATGCCATTGGTGATTAAATATCCCAGCGTCATCATCATCAATCAGCAAGTTCTTTACAGAACGTCGCTCTCCTCACGGCACGCTTGAAAGTATCCCTTTCCCTAGCCAGCTCTCCAGCCCCATGCGCTTTCAATGCCAATGCACCTTCAATGTCCTGTGTCCATCTTCGCGTAGGTCGACCCCTGCCTGGCTTTCCACAAACTGCACCCTCCATCGCCGTCTTGTCCAAGCCAACATGACGTTTGATGTGGCCGAAATACTTCAACTTTCGGGACAGGACGCTGTTTATGAGCCAAGTCTGCTTGATGTTTAACTCGTGTAGAATTTAGACGTTTTTCCTTTTCTTGATCCAGGGTATTCTGAGAATTTATCTGTAACATTTTAACTCAAAAGCTCCAATCTTTTTCTTCAATGACTGAGTGAGAGTCTAGGTCTCACTATCGTAAATTGCCACAGAAAAAAATGCACGATCTCAAGATTTTTACTTTAACTATTTACAGGTCTTTCGCTATAGATTCTTCTGACTTCTTTCTAGCAATCTCCACTGTTATTCACTACAGAGCCCAAGTATTCGAAATCTTTGACATTTTCTATTTCTTTATTTTTGATTGTGATATATGGTTGGTGTGCTGTATTTACTGAGGAGATGTTTTTTTTTTTTCAAATTCAGAAACAGATTCACTTCTTCGCTGCGCTTTCTGACAGCCAGAATTACGTTTTTAAACATTGTACACTGTTGGAAAGGAGAACTGGGTCGTCTGTATATCAGAGTTCTGGGACAGGATTACCTCCAATTTCCAGTGGATCAAAACTCTTGTCGCTAATTGCGTGTTTCGTAACATTTTCAGCATTTATGTTCAAAAGGGACGGAGAAAGAATGCAGCCCTGTCTCACCCCTCTCTGCAAACCACTCTGGTGTTTCACCCGCTACTCTGACTGCTGCTTGTTGTTCATTGTAAAGATATTCGATTAAGTGCACCAGATGCTTTGGAAATCTCATGCCTCTTATTTTATGCCAGTTTATGGTGTTCCACACAGTCAAATGCCTTGCTGTAGTCTATGAAACAAGTATGTATTCTATACACTTCTCTAGGATGATTCTCATATTGAAAATATGGTCTCTTGTTCCTCTGCCCCTTCCAAAACCCGCTCGTCCTTCTTGTTTGTTTGTTTTAGTATCCAGAAGCCATGAGTTGTTAACCCTTAGGCTCGGTATTATGGATATCGCAACTTTTCGGCCTTGATTCCATTGTAAATACTGTAAATCTGGGAGAAATGTGGCTTTTCTGCCTACCCCCGGGAGTGAACCTGGACCACAAAGAGTTCGTCACCCGGTCACCGCGCAATCCGGTTTAGCCAACTATGCTAGAGAGCCGGGCTGTCCTTCTTGTAATACATATTTCAATTTATTCTCGATAACATTATGATTACTTTATAATAATAATATAATAATAATAATAACATTTTGACTAAATAAATAAAGAATAGGCCTAGTGAGTAGGCATCGATGTAATTGACTGCCATTTCACAAGAAATATTATAGGATATACTCTTGCGTACATCGGACGAAGAGACTAAACTCGTAGAATTTGTAAATTTAAATAAAAAAAAAACAATTAAAACAATTATGGGGATATCGGATATAAGAAAAAGAATGAAGAATGGAGTACAATAATAATGCTGGACTAACTACCTTAAGCTTGACAAACAAAAGAAAATATTAGTTTACAGTTTTAGAATACAAATGTGGAGGTGAAAGTCGATTTCCATTAGTATATAAATGTGTGCTTAGACTTTGGGCATTACCCTATTCCTCTGTAGCTGCATAAAGCGTTTTCTATCTGCTTAACGACATTAGGGTTTCTTTTTAAAAGGTCGTTTTTCTTTGATGACTTCAACAATAAATGCATTGATGAGATAAATGTTATTGCTCCAATGATAAGGCAATAATGTAATGATCACAGATTTCAGTTCTGACAAGTATAAGGTAGGTCAGATTTACATATATATTTGTGTGTACAAATATGTGTGTACATGTATTTGTGTGTGTGTGTGTGCGCGCGCGCGTGTGTGTGTATGTGTGGTTGTGTGGTTGTGTATGCTTAAATTCTTTCTAACGGTATTTTCAAATCGGAATTGAAATGTGTTACATTCTGTGTGTGTTTTAGTACCTTCTCAAAAAGTGTTTGGTACTATCGCCAAAATATTTTCAACAGCCCTGCCCCGAGTCCATGGCGGCAGTTACAGGCCTTGAATACTAGACTGACACACTCGCATGACTATACTCAACCTTCATTCACCGATGAATGTCTCTATATTTTCCATTTTTACGGGTAAAGTAAAATGTCAAAGGTCATATTTAAACTGTCCTTATGACGCCACGGAGTTCGACAGCACCATGATCCCACTGCATAACACTCTTGACATCCTTACAAACACTGGAAGGTTACAATACAATAGCATGGTTATTGTAATCTCTTTCACACTTTCGATGTGTTTATTTCAAGCCTTCTCGTACATGTCATATTATTTCAAGCATATTACTATATTTATTTACTATCAGACCAATTATCGAAAGGTTAGAACACTGGGCTCTCAAGCGGAAGACGCGAGTTCGAATCCTCGGTAAGGCTGGGGAATTTTTTTATCGGGGGCAAAATAAAAGCCTTACCTGCACAGTCGTGGCGACAGCAATAGCCATGCTGCCGTGAATCCTCAGGCTCAAAAACGCCTCCTACCTACACCGCAAAAGTGGTACAAAACAGGCTGTCATTGGCAGTTTTTGGCAGAAAATTATCGTGATTTTTATTCCGTATTTAATATAAACAAAGTATAAACCCCTATCGCTCCCGATAACTATCACCAAGCTGAGCCCAGTCAATTATTCCTTTGTGGCGGAACCCCTGGACCCGATGCAGATTCGAACCCAAACCCGTCTGGCCGGCAGTAAACCGTCAATCCGCTGCGCTCGTCCGGTCCTAGTCAAAAAATGCTAGCTAGCCAAAATATAAGCCGGCCGCCCTTGAATCCATTTTGGCCAACACCAGCGACCTTAAGTGATTTGGCAACCAGTCTTTGCAGACGGTACTTCGCGAAGTGTTATCCCGAGGACCTCTCGAGGGCTTTGATTTTAATACCGATCTCAAGGACGAGAGACAGTCGGAGCTGTCCTTGTGGGTGAATGTAAGGGAGAGTGAGTGAGTGAGTGAGTGAGTGAGTGAGTGAGTGAGTGAGTGAGTGAGTGAGTGAGTGAGTGAGTGAGTGTGAGTGAGTGAGTGAGTGTGCGCGCGTGTATGCCTGTGTGTTATTGTGAGGAGAAAGGGAGATATCCAGGAGCGAAACAAGACAAGGAGGTTAAGTGACGTTGATGTCTCTAGTAGTTTTCTGAGACGGAAAAAATGTTGCTTCGGAATGGGATTTTTATTCATCAGTTGTTTTGAGGCCTACAAGCCACAGAGGTTTGCCACTTGTCTATCGGTTGGAAAGTCTGGGGTTCGAATTCAAGTGTGTGTGTATGTGTGTGTGTGTGTGTGTGAGTACATGACCGTGTCGTGCTATGATACAGAAATGCAACAGCATCAGGCGGCTCTGTAAGAGGGGTTGGGGGCGTGACATAAGCAGTGAAGGGAGTCGTGGCCGAGCGGTTAGACGCTCGCCGCGGATCGGAAGGTCGTGGGTTCGCTCCCTGGCGGAGCCGGACTTTTTTCAAAAATGACCTTGACTCCCAGGTCGACCCAGCCTTGAGTGGGTACCGGGTGCAGTCGGGGGAAAATTAAGGCGGCCGGCGTGATACTGACCACATCACCTATCTTGTGCTGATTGGTCTATAAAAATATAGTCTAGCCCTATATGCCCTATTCGCCTTTAAACGTGGAAAAGGGTCCTTTTTACCTTTTTATAAGCAGTGAAATCAAAATACAATACGAACTTTCGAACTCTCTCAGCACTAAGCCATTAGATGCAGCGTTTCGAAGACTTTCAGTATACTGATAACATTTACCGCAAACAGACTGTACGTGTTTGTGCGTGCGCGTGAATGGGAGGGATTTGGGTGGGGGTTTTTCTTCTTCTTCTTCTTATTATTATTATTCTGTCATAAAAAGGTCGGTTGTGACATTGTGTTGCGTCTTACCGGTAGACTGTGACATCTGTATCTCTCGGCCCAAAAACATCCGATTTTAGCAAATCTTTAATTAGTGACCTTTTCGATAAGAGGTAGTTTTCACATTTCAAAGGGCGGTTTGCAGTTGGTGTTGTGATTTACTGCTAGTTAGTTAGTTAGTTAGTTAGTTGGGTTATCATCATTGCACTCCGGACATGTCCATAGGTGCTCAGATCCTCCCCTCAGTATGAATCCCAACGTCCGATGGCTAATAGTACCAGTTCTATGTTGATTAACAAATCTTCTGACGTGTCCGGTGTGCGTCTCGTTTTTTGCTGTGCCGATCTTAATTCCCAAGTCTGCCATTCTGGCGAGTGATGTGGATTCACTGCCACCAAAGTCCTCTATCCTTCCCATTTCTCTGAGGGCATTGATAATATCAGCATGATCCATAGGCCGACCGTCGGTAGTGATAGCGGATCCAGCCAGCCTGTCAGCTCTTTCATTTCCATCGACGCCTGCGTGTCCCGGAACAAAAATAAAGGTGACTCCTCGCACAGTAGACTTCTGAATTGATTCAAGCCATTGTCTTCGCACTGAACCTGCCTGAACCCTCCGGATCATACTCATTGAATCACTGAGTATACATATGCGGGTGTATTTTTGTGTTTCAAGCCAGGCAAACGCTTGCGTCACTGCCATCACCTCCATCGTCATGCTGCTGGTTGTCATGGAGAAGGCGCCGTTGGCTTCTTTGACTGTTCTGCCCGCTGAGCGTGCTGTAAATGCCCATGCGCTTCTTCTTTGGCGTATAACGGATCCGTCTGTATAGATTAGTGCATCTGCTTCGTCTGAATTTTCACCGATGAGAGCGTTGACCTCTGCATTAACAGCAACAGGATTCTCTTCTCTACATCGCCTGTTGAGTGTGGGGACAATACAGGAAAATGTACAAATAAACGCCTGAGGCACAGGTATCCATTCTGCACCAGGTATGATGTCGGTTAGGCTGCATATTTGCCTAATAACATCTTCTGCCCGACCTAGCCACGATTTTCCCCTCTTCAGTCTGTCGCCCTTTTCACTAAAAAGCGCTTGATGCAGTGGGTGTTTTCTTATCAGCACATATTTTGAGGTATGCCCGAGCCCTCCACATCCTGATCCTTTGGTTCATTGTTGGAAAGTCAAGTAGATACCTCATTGCTCCACAGGATGTGTCTCTTGTACATCCCAAAATAATACGCATGGCTTCATTTTGCACCTTCTCGAGTCGTTCAATCTGGGTAGCACTGACAGTGAGGATGGCCAGAGCGTATTCAATGGGGGAAAGGACCAGACCGTAGAATAGAAGCACCAGCAGTCTTTGCTCGATATTGGAAGCAGCCATAATCCTCATTGCAGATAGACCTTTGCGTGCTTTTGTTATCGCATGGTCAACGTGTTCCCTGAATGACAAGCTGCGATCAAACCTCACCCCGAGAAACGTCATAACGTTGGTTCTGATCAATACATTATCACGCATTTTCACTTCTGGTAAGTCCGACTTGACAATGTGATTGTTCAAAGAGAACCATGACACTGCTGCCTTCGAGGGATTGACATAGGCATTGGAACCATCACACCAGGCGGCAACTCGATCGAGTTCTTTGTGCATTGTGCTGGCGATCTCCTGTCTATCACGCCCTCGTCGATAAATCAAAATGTCATCAGCAAATGACAAAGTCCTTCCCTTTCCATTCAACTGCTGCTCAGTGATCATCACCGTATAAACGTTGAATAAGACTGGTGATAGCGGTGATCCCTGTGGCAAGCCTGGACATATCGTTTGCGGTTCTGAGGACCAGCTACCACATCTTAGTGCAATCTTTCTCTGGAACAGGACCGCAGCAATCCAGCGGATCAGAATAGGATTGACTTCTAGTTTTAAGCAGTAATTGCATTAAATAATCATATGGTACTTTATTGTAGGCATCTTCTAAGTCCAACACTGCCGCACATGTCTCTTCTTTAATCTGAAATCCCTCGTACACATCGTAGGCGAAAACAGCAGCATTGGACCATGTCTCTTTCTTCAATCTGTACCCTCCAAGTGTTGATTGGGAACTTATCATGTAGTTCTAAGTAGGTGGTCAATCTTTGTGCGACAATTTTTTCCAAAAGTTTGCCAACAGTATTCTGCATCGAGATGATTCTGTAGCCGCAGATCTTTGAGTGGTCTTTATTAGGCTTTGGTAGTGGAAACAAATAACTATGGAGCCATTCCTCTTGTATCTGGCCACTCTGGATGCTGATATTGAATTCCTTTGCCACGCTTTTCAAATCAGCATTCGACATCATCAGCATGTCATTGTATCGGATGCCGTCAGGGCCTGGAGCAGTGCTGCGCGATTTCTTGAGGCAAGTTCTTAAGGTGTCTGCAGTGATTGTGAAATCAGTGTCTAGCTCAGTGTTCTCGCACAGCATCGACAGTTTCATCTTAACCCCTATTCTTGCAGCTTCGTCTTTTTGGTCAGTTTGCTCCAAGTAGCGCGCAAGAAGGGTTTTTTCCTTTATCAGCATCAGTTCTCTGCCATATCAGGTCTGTACCCTGAAAATCAGGGATACCCCTTGGTCGTGCGGCGCCGTGCATGCTCCGTTGAAGGCGCCAGAATGTCACAAGAGATCCCTCGGAGCAAACGCTCTTGCAGAATTCGTTCCATTTCGCTGTCTTGGCTTCTTTCGCAATTAACTTGAAAGCCACTGTCCGCTTGTTGACCTCATCTTTCAGACTGATCAGGCGTTCAGAAAGTGACGGATCAATTTTCCTTGCCTTTTGCCATGCCTTGAAAGCGTTCCTTTTTTCTAGCCACGCTATGTTGACTGCTTCATTCCACCATGGTGGCTGGGCCCATCTCTCCCGCCGTCTGCGATCTGCTCTTGTATTACGTCGTCTGATTTTGCTAATGGCATCTTGCCCTGTACGGTCATATATAAAAGCAGGCACATTGATTACATGACCTTTGTTGTTGCTCTTCTCCACCAAGACGACGCAAGGAAAGTGATCACTGTCATGGTATCCCAGTGTGCTCCACCTGCATCCTGGTGCAATGGAGGGAGACACTAGGGCCAGGTCAATTACGCTGTCAGAATCCCCTTGTCGGGTTGCCATTCGGGTAACCTTTCCGTCGTTCAAGCATACTAGATCGGCAGACACTAGAGCATCCTCCAGGTCTTCCCCCTGTTTATTGGTGATTACATTGCCCCACTGGTTTCCTCTGGCGTTGATTTACTGCTAAGCGATGCTAAGTGATTCATTTGACAAAACACATTCAAATAAATCAAACCCTAGTTAGTCGCTGCTCACCACATGATTGATAGGGGACAGTTGGTTTTATTCTGCCGCCCACCCCCATTCCTTTCCCCAAAACTGCTCTCACTGAACCACAGATACACCTGCACACAACAATAAATCACATAGCCGCGACAGCCAGAACTGTTCTCACTGAAGCACTGATACGGTCACAGACAACAATAAATCACATAGCCGCGACAGCCAGAACTGTTCTCACTGAACCACTGGTACAGTCGAACACAACAATAAATCACATAGCCGCAACAGCCAGAATTGTTCTCACTGAACCACTGGTACAGTCGAACACAACAATAAATCACATAGCCGCAACAGCCAGAATTGTTCTCACTGAACCACTGGTACAGTCGAACACAACAATAAATCACATAGCCGCAACAGCCAGAATTGTTCTCACTGAATCACTGATGCACCTGCACACAACAATAAATAACATAAGGCAGTCAGAACTATTGTCACTGAACCACAGACCCAAACTTAAAACAAACCATCAGAATTAATTATAAAAACAAAAACACAGCATCATTTCAACACTCTCTCCTAACTATTTGATTTATAAACATTCACAATACGAGTTAGAAAACTAAGAAGGCAAACAGTCAAAGATGCAAAGATAGTAAGTTTCATTAGTGATACATCCAGCGACATAATGCCAGCAAGAGAACGTCAATAATACACCGTGATTTACAGACGGCCTCTATTAGGGGGTTAGGAGCTAGTCCTAATTCCTTTACTCCCTGAGACATCTTTAACAAGCAAAATCAATAGCAGGCAAGCTTCGATCCGGAGTCAGCCAAACATCAAATGAAAATATTTATTTAGGTGGTATTGTGTCAGTGACGCAAGAGGTAGGGAGTGAAGATGTGGAAGAAAGTATGGTTAGTCCCAGAGAAATTAGGACAAGATGAAGTGGCGATGGTGCAGTAGTTAGGGCGCTTGCCCAGCTTTGCGAATGTTAATAACATAATTTACGGACG